GGGGGAGAAGAGGGGAATGATTTGGTAATGTGCAAAGTAAGACGGTAACAACTAACTCGACGTTCAAGCAGCGAGGAGGGGGAGGAGAAGGAGGAGGAGTCCAAAGCGGGTGTGCGTGGGGGGCCCTGGCAGAGTGTGTGTGTGGACGGGGGGGGAGAGGATGGGGGAGGTTTAAGGCAAATCACGGAAGATTGAAGCAGATACGTGAGATAGACGGATACGCCAGGATTAGACAGGTAGGGGGGGCCGAGAGTGGGGGAATATACCCGTGCGTGCGCGCGTGCCGTGTAACACGGACACGTCAGCGAGGATTTTAATTAGCCGCCAGCGTGCACGCGCGGCACGTGACACACACACACACACACACCGTCCCACAACCCCCAAAAATACGCACATACATACATACATACATACATACATACATACATACATACATACATACATACATACATACATACATACATACATACATACATACATACATGTGGCAGTCTGAGTCGGGGTCGGGAGCACACAAGACTAACCGACTTGTGCTGTGTGCTCTCTCGACCCTTGCGCTGTGTTTCGGCTTCGGCCCCCGGCTCTCGCGGCCCACAACGTAATCTAAGTCATACATACATACGGACATACGGACACGCAAACCTGGTATTACCGCAGGACCCTAGCACACGCCACATGGAGTTTCTGCAGCTGGTGTTCGACGCGGACGGCACCCGCCTCGCTTCCCTGGGGGGGGGGCCCGACAACCAGCTGGACGTGTGGGATGTGGACATGAAGGAGTCGCTGTTGAGGGTGCCGCTGCCAGACTCGCTGACGGGATTCGAACCGGCGTTCTTTCCGCTCAATTCGGCAGTTCTGGCGCTAGGAGGGCCCGATGCAGTACGGCTACTGTGGGACGAGCCGCTGGCGGGCGCGCGGGTTGTACGACAGAGTGACGTGGATCTGTCGGTGATGGTGGAGGGCGAACAGCTGAATTGCATGTGAGAGGAAAGGGGTTAGGGAAAAAAGGGGAAGGGGGGAGGGGGATTGGGAGGGTTTAAGGTGCGTGGTAGCTCGTGGTTTGGGATTTGCATCCCTTGTTTTTCCCCGCCCTTGGCCGGCACACATACATACATACATACATACATACATACATACATACATACATACATACATACATACATACATACATACATACATACATACATACATACATACATACACGCATGCATGCATACACATCCGAGAGCCCTCATTCCCTCCCCCTTCCTTCCCCAGCTCCTGGACTCCCAACGGGACTCTGCTGCTGGGCACCACCGCCGGCAGGGTGTTGGGTGTGAGGGGTGCCGCACCCCCGGCCATACCCACCAGCAGCTGGGGGGAGAGCCCCGGAGGGGGGCACGCAGCGGAGGTGCTGTACGGCACCGCGGCGCCGCCGGCGCCGGGGTCCGCGAACGGCGCGTCGAAGGCGCCACCGCCGTCGGTTAGCTTCCTCCAGGGCCCGGCGCCGCCTCGTAGCGGAGTGGTTGCCATTGTACTGACCGCCACACATGTGTTGCTGGTGATGGGGGGAGGTGGGTGTGGGCTGGGTGTGTGCAGTATGTATGTATGTATGTGCAAGCGTTATAATCACCCCACCACCCACCAAAACCTTTCCCCCATCGCCACAACAAGACCCCCAGGCGCCAGAAGCTCGTCTTCCTGCCCTTTTCGCTTTTTGTGTAAACCCTAAACCCTAAAACCCTACAAACCTAAAACCCACAAACCTAAAACCCATTTCGTTAAGGGAGAGGAAGTCACAACCCGCCCCAGTCTTGACGCGGTGAAGGAAGACGTACACTGACACCACCCATCCCATCTTGCACGTCGGCACCGGCGGCGACAATGACGGCGGCGGCGGTTCTCCCCCACCCACCCCCACCCCCCCACCCCCTTCCAGGTGTCACAGCTTCCGCGGAACTGGTTTGGCTGCTGCCGCACAGCATGAACCCTGTCGCCGTCGCGCCACTGCCGCTGCGCGCGCTCGTTCGAGCCGCCGTGTCGCCGTCGTACGAGCAGCTTGCAATCGCCTCCGCCGACGGCTCCATCGCCACCTGCAGTACAATTTGTCCCATCCCTGGACTCAGCTTGGGCCGCTTAACGGCCGACGGCGAGGGCGGCAGCAGCGCCTCCTTACCGCCGCCGGCGGCGGCGGCGGGGGCGGGGGGCGGTTCCGTACCTTCCGGCAGCGGCGACACGCCGCTGCTGATGGTGGCGGAGCAAGGGGGCCCGGCGGCGGCGGCGGCGGCCGCTGGCGGCGGCGCCGAGCACGGCCCGGGTCGCAGGAGTACGAGCGCAACGGTCGGCAGCGGATCGGCGGCTTCTTGTGCCCCCGTGGAGCGGGGCGCGCTGGTACAGGTATGTATGTCTGTATCTCTGTGTGTGTCTGTATGCCTGTGTGTGTGTGTGTTTGTGAGACCTTCAGAACTTCTGAAAAGCGCGGGCAGGGGGAGGTGGGGAGAGGGGGACGGGGAGCGTGAAAAAGGGGATATATATACAAGTAGGCCTCAACAGACCGTACCATATCATACATCTTATCATATCTCTCACCACCAGACGTGGGGTTATTCGAAGGGGCCGGAAGCCCTTCTTGTGGGGCATGGAGGGTTGTATCGGTTTGTACGACAACTTACGCGCGGACGTGGGTTTGTTCATCTCCATCGATTCTGCTAAAGTACTGTCGGCAACTCCGACTTCCTGTGCCTCCGGTACCTTTTCACTGTGCATCGTACACAACAGTACAGAAGCCGTTAGCTGGTCGTTGGCGCCATCGTCAAACTGATTGATGGTCTTGGCATGTATCAGAAATGCCAAAGCCACCTACTAACTGCTGTAACCGCTGTAACCGTCTCAACCGCTGCAACTAATTAATAAACTAACCTTACACCATGAGCGCGCCCACCGGTCGCCGCTATCAGCCTTTGAACCCGCAGCCGCGTCTCATGTGTTGTTGACTCGGGGTGCCGTACAGGTCACTGACGTGGCGCGCTTCCATCGCGGCCGCATTTCTTCGTGTTTGTGGCTGACGCCCACCCGGCTGGTGACGGGCGGCATGGACGGCACAGTGCGCATGTGGAGGTAAGACATACATACTTACTTACATACATTCATACGTATGTACGTACGTACGTACATACATGCATGCAGGGCGTCATTCTACCACTATCATCTACACCAACCCCTCCCACCCCCCTCCCCGCCACCCGAACTCCCCCCTCCATAAAAACCCTAATCCCATCCTCAGCTACGTCCCCAACGACGGCGATCCCCCCGACCGCGCCGGCTGGCTCTCGCCGGGCCTCCAGCTCGATGCCCAATGGAACGTCTCCCAGCCGGTGACGTGTATGGCCGCTCTCAACCCGCCCTTGCCGGCGGGGGCTGAGTGGCCGGGTACGGCAGCGGCAGCCGGCGGCGGCGGTGGCGGCGCCGAAGGTGGCGGCGGCGGCGCCGACTTTGCGGCGTCCTGGGCCGCCTCCGCGCCCAAGCCACCAGCGTTTATGTTAGGCACGGCGGGGGGTGTCGTGCAGCTGGTGAATGCGGACCGTGTGCCGGCGGACATCGCGGAGGCGCCTGATTTGGCGCAGCTGAATGCCTCGTTGAGCAGCACGTGGGATGTTCGTGTGTTCGGGGGACCCATTACCGCGGCGGCGTTTTCGCAGGTGGGGCGGAAGGGAAAGGGTGATGGGTGATAATCGGCTGACATTTTCGATAAATTATTGATGATGGTGGTGATGATGATGATGATGATGATGATGATGATGATGATGATGATGATGATGATGATGGTGGCGATGATGATGATGATGGTGGCGATGATGATGATGATGATGGTCAGGTTTCCTCTCCTCGAAGTTCCCGCTAGTACCGCATCATTCTCCCATTTCCCTTTCCCCTTCATTTCCATTTCCCCCCCCCTGCCTCTGCCTGCTCCTATCTCTTCCACTACTCCTCCACGTACCCCCCTCCTAAACACCCCCAACCCCCCACCCCCTTCCCCAACAAAACACAACCCCCAGG